CACTCGGCAAGCCCTAGACTCCAGTTTCGCTCTCGTTAGGGCCAATTAACAGTGTGCAGCCTCCTTCCGGGAGTAGAACGATGGTTTCATCACATGGAGGTACTGTTGCGCTTAGCGTTCAGCCAGTCGCACAGGCTTGTAAGTGCCAATGATCCTGAGTGCAGATTAAATTGATTGAACTATTCGCACAAGGTGCTAACCGTTAGCCGTGTAGCTCAAGGGTAAGGGTTTGAAGTCTCAGCCCGAAGAATCGCGGTTCGCTTCCTGACAGGGGCACAAAAAGTACGCACTTCTGACGAGTCCCAAACAAGACGAAACAGCTGTTCAGTGCTCTTTGTTAGTTAACAAACATTTCCATCATATTGAACAACTGTTATGAAATAAATATGCATTTTTCCATAATATTTGTTCTTTCTTTCTTTCTTTCGGGATTCTGTCTCCCACATAGTTAGCGAGATCGTTCAACGATAAAACAGCCAGTTGGGAAAAACGAAAGAAGAGTTTTGCATGGGCCTCTTGTGGTGATTCTCTACCAACACTTAGGCAGCATCGGATTCGGAACCTATCCTCCTCCTATGCCGGCCCGAAAATGACACGACCGATCGGGTTCACTTATCCATCGGTCGAATGGTTCAGCCGAAACAAGGGATCTGGTGCTTGCCCAGTTAACCCGAGCAAGAAACCACACCTTGTTTACACCCATGAATCTCAGGTAGGCCCAGTGAACTTCGATTGTACAGCAGGCGTGCCATCAGCACTCGGATGGACTGGATGTAAGAACAAGAGCATTACAAACATACAAGCCGGTAATCAGACAGTCTCCTGTCGGGGTGACGTATTTCAAGCGCCGCAGATCGCGGAATATGATCCAATCAGATCACAGAAAGGGTCAGAGGGAATTTACTTGTTTAAGGTCTCGGGGGAGAGAAACAAGACAGTGTAAACGATGGAGGAATCACTTCCCAAATAAGTGATTAACTCTAGCTGAATTGAGGAGAGTGCATGAGGATAAAGTGTGAAGAATAGTCAGTCCAAATGAATAGCACAACCCCTCACCACTGACAACTCACCAGTACTCACATGGTAAATGGAGATACCTCTCTGAGTTAAGAGAATTACCAGTTATGTAAGGTTAATGGATGCTAAATCCGAATAATGTTGGTAAAAATCGGATTGTTTCGGATCTCTAAACCCGGAAAGGAATCCAACCTAAAGGGGATTTTAGACATGAGCAAAAAGTTAATGGAAAAAGAACGGTTTTGGCCTTCAAACGTCCTTTATTTCTCGGTCGATTTGTTG